ACACTGGACCGTCACAGCTCGCCCTCTATTTCTTCAACGACTCCATGGATGGAACCAGGAGCCATTTAATTTAATAATAATAATTCAACGACTATCTCGTCATTTTTCATGGCGATTGCCGGAGCGCACGTGGCTCTGTGAAATCCTACTGCGTTTTGTTGCTATATTTTGCGTTTCCCGCGACATTGAAGCCCCATGCAATTTACGTAGAAAAATTGGGCGAGGTGCAAGAAAGAGAAAGGCGTATTAATAATCTCTTTAAACGCACTTCAAACAAGTCCGCGGACGACTTGCAATCATGGTTGTACCAGAAACAAGTAAGTGCATTGTTATTGCGTACTGTTACGGCGTATTGTTATATTTGCAACCAGTAGTTTGGCCAGTGTACAGCAAAAACATCGATATAAATATTGCTTAACTTTTTCATTACAACAAATATTACTTAGAATTAAATACGAAGAAATTCTATTCTCGCGGTTTGTTGAATTGAGGAAAAGGTACAGAAAATTTGCACAAAGATATCGGGCCATCGAGGTTTCATCCCAACCGAGGATGGTACTTTTTTTATCTTCTTTTGCTTAGTCTGTTATGCTGGGACCGTAACCTTGCGTTACATTTTATCCCTTTTCAGAGCTTGCAAATCAAAGTAAGGAGGAACGCATGGTGAAAACGATAGGAGAGATTATACAGGAGTTACTGAAGGCGCACAATGAAAATCGGGACGTTAACCTGAATAAACTGAAGACCCGCATTGCTTCAAAATATGGCTTGGACTCCTCTCCAAGATTGGTGGACATTATCGCAGCGGTGCCGCGTGACGCTAAGGACGCACTTGGTCCGAAATTGAAGGCCAAGCCTATCAGGACTGCTAGTGGGGTCAGTTGAAAACTTGCGTCATGGTACATCGACGATCTTCGCGGTTAAGAAAATCAAATTGAGAGAGAAGGGAAGAACACGTGTGTCCGATTCTTCTAATCAGAGTCTGGCCAACAGGCCAGTTTCGGCAAAATGATGCGAGGGAGAGAGAAATACATTCCCTCTACACACATCATACGCGCCATGTAGAGTGAGAGGGAATATATTTATTTCCGTTTGGCGTTTTCTCGTATGTTGTTTATATTTCTTTCTTTCCCTCTCGCGTCATTTCGCCAAAACTGCCCGTTGGCCGAACTAGAGGGACTCTAAAAACATTAATGTAATCCGCAGATCGCTGTTGTAGCAGTAATGTGTAAACCGCACAGATGCCCGCACATTAATATGACGGGAAACATCTGCGTTTACTGCCCCGGGGGCCCGGATTCGGATTTTGAATATTCGACGCAATCGTATACGGGATACGAACCTACGTCGATGAGAGCCATTCGCGCAAGATACAATCCATTGTTACAAACCAGACATCGTATGGAACAGGTAGAGCAAACGTTGCCGCGGTAGTCTCTCGGGTAACTTCCGCGACCGACTTTCGATGTCTGTAAAAGTATAATCGTGTACGTTACGCTTTTAGTTGAAGCAACTGGGCCACAATGTCGACAAAGTCGAATTTATTGTTATGGGCGGTACCTTCATGTCCTTGCCGGATGATTATAGAGATTATTTTATACGGAACCTACACGACGCGCTGTCTGGTCATACAAGCAGCAATGTTGACGAAGCAGTGAAGTACTCGGAACGCAGCACTACAAAATGTATTGGCATCACTATCGAGACTCGACCTGATTATTGTCTCAAGAAGCACCTCTCGGATATGTTGCGTTACGGGTACGTCTGTTTTGTCACCTCATAGAGGAAGCTTCGCTTCAATGTAATGAGATTGGGCAATCATTTGCAATAAAATTCGATAGATGCACACGTTTAGAAATCGGTGTACAATCGATATACGAGGATATAGCGCGTGACACTAATAGAGGGCACACAGTACGTGCCGTGTGTGAGAGTTTTCAACTAGCGAAAGACGCTGGATTTAAGGTGATAGCTCACATGATGCCGAATTTACCAAATGTCGACTTGGAACGAGATATTATCCAGTTTGAGGTAATGTCGCTGCACGTAACAAAAGTTCCCGGACTCTCCGAGCTTTTTTTTTAGTATCTTATTGTGGAATGGAAGGTACCTTGTAAAGGTTTCTTCAACATCTTCCACAAATGCCGACGTCACTGGCCTTCCATGTCTTTTTCTATCACAATAAATTATTAAAAAAAACCTTAGAGTCCAAGAACTTTCGTTAAATACTACGAGTTAGCGATGTTAACTTGCACAATGATTTTCTATTAATACCTTTCGTATAAATTTTTAGGAATTCTTCAAGAATCCTGCATTTCGGGCGGATGGATTAAAAATTTATCCAACGTTGGTTATACGTGGCACTGGCTTATACGAATTATGGCAAACTAAGAGATATCAAAGTTATGCACCCAGTGTGTTGGTCGATCTTATAGCTCGTATTCTAGCTTTGATACCGCCGTGGACCCGTATTTATCGCGTACAGCGTGATATACCTATGCCTTTAGTGACGTAAATATCAGATTATACAATAGCAGCCATGCACCACCCCGATATTTTTAAATAAAGCGAATAATACACTTACGATAGATAACAATACGTATATCATTTTGTTTTCATGTAAAAATATAGTTCTGGTGTAAAACATGGGAATTTGCGTGAGTTGGCTCTAGAAAGAATGAAGGATATGGGCACAGACTGCCGTGATGTTAGGACACGCGAAGTGGGAATTCAAGAAATACACCAGAAAGTGCATCCCTATGAAGTAGAGCTTATACGACGTGATTACGTAGCCAACGAGGGATGGGAGACATTTCTGTCGTATGAAGATCCCTTGCAGGACATTCTAATTGGCTTGCTGAGATTAAGGAAATGTTCTGCCAGTACGTTCAGGTATGATTTTTTAATTTTAGTCACTATTTACATTATAGCAACTATTGTATCATTTAGATATTATTCATTAAGTTATCTTTAAATATTTATATTCGTACTTCGAAATAATTTATATTTCAAAATATGTAACGTTTAGAAATTAAAAAGTTAATTCTTGAGTAATGTAAGTATAGAGTACATGAGTTCTCGAAACAGATCACCATTCATAAATTTTAGTTTTTCAATCAGCCTCTTATGAAAAGTAGGGTAGAATGTTGGAACATGAATCCGGGACTTACAAACCCGAGACCATGGTCAACCGTGCGCAGCCATGCACCACCCCGATATTTTTAAATCAAGAATGTATATCAGTGCTCTTCTTGTAGGCCGGAATTAAAGGAAAAAACTTCTATAATAAGGGAGCTTCATGTTTATGGCAGCGTAGTGCCTATTAGCGCTCGAGATCCTACAAAATTTCAACACCAAGGCTTCGGATTTCTGCTAATGGAGGAAGCTGAACGAATCGCAAAAGAGGAACATAATTCTGATAAAATTTCCGTAATTTCAGGTATAATGTCACGTTTTTATCTTTCGTATCCGCGTTTGCATTAATTAGTGAATTAAACTGAACTGAACGATTTAGGAACTCACACTAACATATTATTTTTTTTTGCAGGCGTTGGTACACGTAACTATTACAGAAAATTGGGTTATGAACTTGATGGACCATACATGTCTAAAATGCTTATATAAATAAGAAAGTGAATTTTTCGAGAGAAAGAAAAAGATAAATTATACATATAACTAAGTATGATATGTATGTATATAAATAGAACTCATACAGGCACATAATTATGCTTTTCTGTAATAAAGAAGCATAGTTTTATTTATTCTAATAACATAATAAAATTTCATGGATCAAATTAAAAGAATTAAGAGAAGAAACGGCAACGAGAGCCCGTTACCGGATGTAAGGTATGAAAATCCTTATACATATATATTTCAACAATATTTTACCGTAGCAAACAACTAAATTTAATTTACATTACAATTAATTATTTTTAAAAGTTTAATTGCAATCGCGCAGTCACTGCGACACTTGGGACAGCCGACGACAATTTGTTACGTTTTTCTTATTTTAACATCCGTTAGAAAGGAAGCTTCTTTCCGAGTCGGCATTCAAATTTTGAAGCAATCTAATTGAACTCAGGAGAAATTTTGAATTTTATTAATTGAATATTGGCTTTAAATTTGTAGTACGTGCTCGCACATTGTTAAAAACTAATTTTAATATTGCGTTGAAGTAGCAAATGTCAACGACAGTGAGTTGGCGTTATAGAGATAAAACTTGAAAACTGATTGTGAGATATTTTTACGAGATACTCAATATTTTTTAATATTGAAATTGTAACATTTCGAATATTTGATAACGACGTAACATGGGGATAAAATTTAAATTAATGTATTTTTAATACTTGTATACTTAATATCTTTAAGTTTTCGATTAAATCAGTAACATTTCGAACATTCGAAGTATTAAAAACGATCTCGTAATCCAAAATGTATAATAGTATAAGAAACAGGTATTTAAAATGTATGCATAAAATTATTGTATAACGCATTTTATTTGCATGTTTACAACTACATTAACACTTGTTTTTGTAGCCACTGGTGATCATCTATGCGGAGCGCTGGTAAATAATGCCGTCATTTTCTTACTTGATACATTATTCCTCTTGTTATTAATAATTTTATCTGTTCAAATAGCGCGCGATAAGCATGAAGATTCTTCTATCGCGAGATGGCGTAACGTAAAAAAAAATCTGATTATTTTATTTTTAATCTATTTACACGCGTTGCGTTTTGCATTACACGTGTATTTTTAGATAATTATGCTATTTACAATGCTTGCAATGCTTGCTAATCGTAAATATTTCCATCTTATCTTTTGATACTTGAGAAATACGAAACGTAAAGGAGTAATTCTTTTACGTGATTCTCATTATTTAATAATGACTCACTCATCAATAATGTCCAATTGATATTATTCTTTCACTGTAACTAGCGGCAATAACTAATGATTAATTATATCGACGATTACGTAATTGCCGGCGATAAAATCGTTATTCAATAATAGTATTTGCGTAAGGAAAAAAGAGACTATCTCCTCTCACTCTTCTCTCGAAAGAGCGAACCGAGTGTGAATTAAGTGCCCGGCAACAATCCCGTGAGACAAAAACTCGGCGTTGCCTCTCGAACTTCTTTTTCATTTATTATATCGAGCGGTGTCATTCAAGGCTTTTTGCCGAGCGTCACGTGTGATCATTTAACGCTTTTTAGGCCGATTCTAAATTTCCAACGGCGCTTTAAAGGTCAGGACAGTCCTTTTTACTTCCAAGCCCGTTCTCCAGTCGCACGAGAACAGCTGTGCGAGACGACTGCGCGGATCGAACCGCACGAAATTAATTTCCCCTCGGCGATTTCGATTTCAAATTATCACCGGCGTGTCGGCGACCCGGAAGGGGGATGCGCGGTGCGCGTCAAGTGCGCGGTCTTCACTTCCTGTAATCTGCGGCGAGAGATCAAGGGTGGCTCGCAAATCCCGGGTATATCGCGTCGCCCCTCGTGCCGGGTATCGGACCGCGCGGCGCGGTCCCGTCGCTGGGTGCGAAACCGCGGAGGGTCGAGTCCTCTACCTGTTGTGCACCGAGATTTCTCCCGCGGAAGGACGTTCCCCACCCCTCCCCCTTTCCTCCTCCCCCCCCCGCTGCCCTCTTCAACCACTGTCCTCCGGTGACGGGCCGACAGGGGGCCGTCGGGGTAAACAAAAGCGAGTCGGTCGCGGCAGCGGTCGCCAAAGCGGGTCTCGTCGGCCGCGGGACAGAACGGTGTCGCGCGCAGGTGGTGGTACGCGTCGCACGTCTCTCTACGAGCGCGAGTGCCTCCGTTTCTCGCGGCGTGAACGCGCCGCGAGTTTCCGTGTCCTTCGACCGATCGAGAGAGAGCGAGAGAGAGAGAGACAGAGTGGTTCGCGCGGACGAGATGCGACGGGCGACGCGGAGCGTGGCGGGACCGTCGACGGCAGGCCGAGAGTAAGGACGAGGACTTGCGAGCAGGTGGCCCGAGGAGCGGACGTCTCCCGCAGGAGGCTCCGTTCTAGCCGCTTCGCCGCGGCGGGGGATCGCGAGCGAGGTAAAGGACGCGCCTCCTCTCGACGCGGATTCCGTCCGACCGCGGGCGCGAGTTCGGGAGGCCGCGAGGGGTCGGCGGATCCGGCAAGCGACTCGCGAATTGCCCCCCCCCTTCCCGAAATTAGGTTATGTTTTTGCGCGAGCGGGTACCCGTGTCTCTCCCCCCCCCCCCCCGCTCGAGGTGGAATTGTGCGCCGCTGCTCGATAATTGCGGGTCTTTATCCGCGTAGCGTAGAAAAAAAACAGGAAGAGTTTTTCCACAATTCTCGGAGATCGCTATCAAATGTGATTGCGTCGCGATTGACGAGGCTCGATCCCCGGGGCTCGACCGCGGCCGCGTCCGCTGGCGTGTCGCGACGTGTCGCGGCAGGATTTCGGAGGGGCGCGTGGGAGAGTCCCACGCGAGCGAGTCTCTCACGGACGTAACGGAAATGCGTAAAGGTCGACGGAGGGACTCGCGCGTTCGGGCGCTCGCGGTGCGAAAGTGCGCTCGGAGCGTGTAAGGAAAGAAAAAGAAAAAAGAAGCGGAAACTACATTGCAGCTTAAGCTCTCTCTCGCGCCTCGTGTCGGGCCGCGCACGGTGAGCGTCGCCCGAGTGTCCCCCGTGTGTCGTTTTACGCGGGTGGGAAATAGGAACGCATTTATCACGCAAATCGAATCCGAGCTATCGATTGAGCGCATGTGGAAGTCCCGTCGGATCAGCTGTTGTTGAGATCTGAAGATCTGAGGGCCCGTCGACTCGCGCCGTGTCCGTGTTATCGGGTTGTCCAGGGTGGTCAGGGGAATCTGGAAAATCGGGTAATTGCCAGGGAATTTTAGAGATGCGGAAACGTCGGGGAGAAGTCGGGAAATTTTACGATTTATCTGGATTTTTTTACGTCGTTTCGCATTTTTTCTGAATAATTTAAAGCTTTTGGAAAATAGACTTTTCTCCGGCTCTCAGTGCACTGATTTTCTGTTTTGCTAAACATCCCATTTATTCGTAAGCGTGGTCGGCAATTTATATTTTCATCGTCGCGTTATTTTGTTTCAAGGTGTTCAACTGTGACAAAACTATAAAAAAAGATGAATTACTAAACAGTACTACAACAGTATTACAACAGTACATACATGATTACGTATCACAAATGGTTCGAATGGTTTGTAATGATATGTTCGCTCCTGTTACACAATGTATTAACGTAGATGGTACAATTGCTTTAATTGATATTTTTGCCTTTTTAAATTCCGGACTTTTATTTTCCGAGAAAAATATTTCAGGGGGACTTGATTTACCATCCAGATGTACGCAGATTATGCATCTTGAAAGAAGTTGTGCTAAACGGTCAGGGAAAAATTAATTCCGGCTCCTGGAAAACTCTGAAAAAGTCAGGGAATTGTTTTCATCGAGTTCGCTGGACGCCCCGCTTATTTAATATTCGGTGAGCAACAAGGATATCAATTAATGTAAATGTAAATATTAAATAAGGATGAAATGATACACGGAGACACTCGGGTGGTGTTTCCGAGCGCAGCCTTGTATGCCATACGTGCGTGATGCGTAACGATAGCTTCAGCGATAGAGCTTATCTTTGCGGCGAATAGAAAGTATTATAATACGCAAATCCCTGGCCGAGAGCTCGGTTTCGTTTATACTCGGCCTTGAGTGTTTGCCGCCTAACGGGCGATTTTTGCCGACTGGTAGATAAATGCAAGACTGTCTTGAATATAAGATCTGAAACCGTGAATACCGGTCTAAGTTAAGAAATTTCGATATTTGTCCGGAGACGTGCGTGTTGAGATTAACAGGCCATTAGAAGCGATTGGAACGCTGGCTTAGGTACTGAATTTAAGAACGAGGACAACACACGTCCAAGGAACTCGAAGTGATTTGCGAGAGCGTAGAGATGAATTTCGTAACGCGCTAATTAAACGTTTGGAAATTAAGGAGGATTAATTTGGGGGATTTAGTGCTCTTGGAGCGAAATCTCATTGTTTGATTGTGTAATTGTTGCAAAAAAAAAGATTGTGATTGAATTTGGGCGTTGGAAACCTGCTATCTCATAATAGAGGACTTTCCTCTACCAAACAGTCGCCCAAAAATCGCCTAATGTGTGACAAACCTCTAAAATAATCCTTAATTTCCACATGTTTAATTATCGCGTTATGATGTTCGTCTCTATAGAGCATATTGTTGGAATGTAAGATTATTAAATACTTCTAAGAAGATTATAGATTGTTGCGTATATACAAAACAATGAACGCGTTAATTTGAGTATATAAGAGTTGATCTGACACTTATTTTTTTCTGTGTGGTCAGATCTTGTATTCAAGACCGTCTTGCATTCATCTATAAAGATGCTGTATGGAACGTTTCATTGCGAGGGGGAAACCGCTGAGGGCATTGTAGTGTACAGACTTGCGGCATTACTGGGCATTTTTGGGGCATTGTAAAGATACAATAAGATAAGTTAAAACGTCAGACGTTTCGACCGCACAAAGTGATCCCTCTCGGTGGCACAATTTATTTTAATATAAAAAACGAGTGTCGAAATTCCAAAACTTCTTAACTCCGTATCGACGGCTAGTCGAATTACGTCATTTTGCCGTCTTATTTCTCAGTACACTCATCCCGTTCTCGTTCTCACGCTTAAAACCAGCATTTTAATTCCTTCTGGCGCACGTGTTTCCTACGTGCGACTCCGATCGTCGTCGATGTGTGCATAAAGTAGCCAATCGCCGCCTGCCAGGCAGCCAATCGTGCTCCACGCGTATATATCGGTTCACCGCGACTATTATTAAGTTTGTCCTTAACAATCGTCAGGACCATCGCTCGCGGACAGCCGGAGTCGATCAGCGTCTCTCGGTGGCTCTCGGTGCAGCGCGGCTGAACGAGACATTTAAATCGAAATCTCGCTTCGTCTCGATTCGCCTCGCCTCGCCTCGCGTAATCGCGGCGGTGAAAGTCAACCGGGAGCGGTTCTAAAGCTAACAGCGATTTTCGAATGGGCGGAAGGAGAGGGAGCGAAAAAGCGCACCTTCGGTAAGTGGCAGTCTCTCGCGGTCGCCGCGCACCCGAAAAGAAAAAGGTGAACCACCGGTAAAACTAGCGACCCTCTAATCAGAGTCTAGCCAACAGAGTTGTCCGCCATGTTTAGTCAAATCCAACGAGAGAGAGAGAGAGAAGTACGAATGTCTCGCTCTCTCTTTAAGCTGCCATCAGATCGAGACGTATCCTAAAACACCTTAAAAAATAACCTTTTTTAATAAAAAAGGTTTAAAAAGGACGCCAAGTATAAGCGTCATCCAATCAAGAATTATATAATTTACTTATTTGGATATTTTTATTTAAAAAAATTGTTTTATCTCCCCCCCTCCAAAGTATCTTCTCTGCAAAAGTAATGATCATCAAATGGCGCCAACTAAACTGAATATTTAT